ATCTGACGTGACATGTTCGTACGAACCCTTTGTACAAACAAAAGTAAGAGAAATTTAGGATAAGAATACGAACATGTTCTTGCATGAGGCCCAATGGTTTTGAAACAAACGAGTCAACGATTGAATTAAATTTAATTCTGTTTGAAAACCTCCCAAATATTCCAAACATTTATAAGTACATAAACCTGTATTATTCAAGGGCAAAAAATGTTTTGTAATTCAAAATAGTTCAGTGCCATTCAAACTGGCTCTCTCCACACAGTCAGGGAAAAACAGTCATTATCTTGCTTAAACAAATTCTGGACAGAAAAATTAGTCCAAAAGCAGCCTAACTCAAAACCAAATAAATAAAAAATAAAAACAACTTTTCCTTTTTTAAAATCTTTGACCTTAAATTATCAATCTGTAAATGACAGTTTTGGCATCTGTACTTTTATCTTCCTTGTTTGTGCTTCTAAACTCAATCCATGTTCTGTAAACTTTAGAAATGTATAAAAAAATACATTTTATTTATTTTATGTCAAAAGCAAAATCTAATATGAGACACTGAATCTCCTTTTTTTACTGCCTATATACATTTGTCTTAGTATTCTGCTACACATCCATCAGCACAGGTTTGGAAGAATGCCAGCATATTTGCTTTGGGATTAAAATCTGAAAAATCCAGATGAAAATCAGTGTCTGGACAAATCATGCAGTTCCAGTTTTGAAGCACGAGATGATCGCTCTGCTTGTGGAGTGGGCGTAATTTTGCTGCAGTTGTGTTTTTAGCTAACCAGCTTCTGTCCTGAGAGGACAGAAAACTTCTGAGGCTTCACAGTGACTGGGGGGGGGAGGGGGGGGGGGGACTTGGAGGGTTTTTGGTTTTTCAGCTGTTGTTCACGAGTTCATGTGTAAGAAAGGTTTGAGAATTTGTAATTTAGAAACAAATCTGTCTCAATAAATCATAACATTACAGAACGGTGTATGATGCTGCATTTTAGATACTTTCTTTCTCCCTGGTAGCCTCGCTGAAATAAGAAATAATCACATGTAAAATAATTATCAGCCTGTTGCCTGGCAACACAAATGCAAATGTAGATTAAAATTGTGTGGTTCCCTTATTAGAAAGGTAAGACTATTATCTGTACGCTACATACTGTCCTGTTTGGCAGCTTGAAGATGTGAGATGAGGCTCCGTCTGTCGGTTTCGGTGGGGTTGAGTGAAAAGAAGTGACATTAAATTATAATGCTGAGGTGCAGAAGCAGGTAACATCTTTGCAAACTTAGTGGCAGTGACGAGACTACCACATGTCTTTTCAGCCATTTTACCCACTCTCCACTATAGTGAAAGGTTTAGTGTTTTTATATCTCGCTTTGTTTGTGTTGACAAATTGAATCAAACTACTTGTGTTTTACTGTGAGAATACAGATTTATCACTTGTTGTCTTATCTCTGAGGAAAATACTGAATCATTACTATTGTAAAAGTGTTAAAGCAAGAACAAAGCCATAGTTGGAGTAGAATCAAATCCTTTAGTAGAATCAACATATTGATATTTGTTTCTTGCTTTGTCACTAGTGTCCCTTGGTTTGTGATTCTGCTCACCACTCCTGCACTGACAGAGAAGATCACCCACTAACTGGTCCAGGTATGACTCACACCTTCTCATTTCTTCAGGCATTGCTGATTGCCTGAGAAAACGTGCCCTCTAATGTCTGCTGTAACTTTTAAGCTGAGTCTTTTAAAAAGGGTTTTTTAATTGATTGAGAACAGTATAAATTCATCATGTAAAGGCCTCAAATGAAAGCTGAAAAAAAATCAGGATTTGTCTTGACATGATTGAAGCAAGTTTTACTATTTTTCATCATGAGAGCTTCTTGATGTCCTCCATTTCATGTGTATTAAACTCCCCTGGAGCAACCTCTCCATGCTGAAGATTTGAAAGAATCCCTGAAGCTTCCTAATTAACTGTTTGGAAATGTAAGATGTTTTGAAATTGGGTTATTTAAAAAGTGATATTATTTGCCTGCATTTTAACGTACCTAGCTTTAAACATTCCTATTTTTTTTTTGATTGAGTTTAAGAGGTTTATTATTATTTTTCTTTTTTTAAATGCAACATTTTGACAACCGTGATGTCATAGCCCTATTTTCACTCTAGGATGTCCTCTTCTTCTGTTGTGTTCACATATTTCAGTATGCAGATTTTATGCTTTATCTTGTGGGTTTTTTTACAGTGACATAATCAGGCTTAGCATTATTGCTACAGCATTTATTTATTTATTTATTTATTTATTTGTTTATTGTAGGGCCAATGACATTGTTTAATTTGAAATGCCAAAACAATAGATTTGGGAAAACTGTGCTTTGTGTGGACGAGGCCCTAGGTTGTTCAAAGAGCTATCTATAACAAATAAGCCTAATAATTAAACTATTTATAACTTTTAATTTTTCACTTTCTTTTCACCTCTATGCATTTCTTTTTTAAGAATTGAACTTTTAAATGATCTGAACTATGGTTTTCAAAGTATCCAAAATGTTCTGTCTTTTACACATACAGTAGCCTAATAGGTATTTGACAGTTTCCCCTAATTTACACTAGATGTGGTCCGACCTTCGCAGCAAATATGTAACCCTTATAATCAATGAGAGTGTTTACACTGGCTCCACACAGCGGAGCAGCTCGACGGTGAGTGGACGGCGATCCTCCAAAATTAGATTTGATCCTACTTTTGCCGGACACTGGAGCTGCTCCGAAGTACCTTTACAAAGCTCACATCACACCAACACGAAAAGGAACAAGCACAACCTCTGTCTTTTCAAAATAATTCACCAAAGGCAGATTATTTTTGTCGAAATCAGAGCTACATTAATAAATACATGGATATATTTATACACAAATGCTGTCAAAATGTATCGTTCTGTTTAGGAAGCAGATGGCAACATGAAGCATACAGACACAATTCACAGGGATTTTATTTTGAAGTCAGAAGTTTCAAAAAGACGACAGGTGCCGTTTCAACTGTATTTGGAGTCTGTCTTCCACAGAATTATTTTTGCTCTGACTTCCACTTTTATCACTGGCTTTATCGCACAATCTTGCATTTCCTGCACACGCTTCTTGGACCCCCTCCGTGTTTCGCACTGGACCGGACCTGAATGTTGTGGACACTGTATAAATTGGGGCGCAAACGACAGCTGTGACCTGCAAACTGCAAAGCGCAGTGGAACCGCATCCAGTGTAAATTAGGGGTTAGTGTCTATGTTACTTACAGATAGATTTCCTACAAGCTATGTGGCTACACAGAGAGTTAAACCACTTGATTATAAAGCGAAAGAGCCGTGCAAAAATTGCAATGTTTTAGTGAAAAAAAGGAAAGGTTTGTAAAGGTCACCACTTGTACTTTGGTAAAACTCCAGAGTTTCTGTTCAGACGAGAAAATAGGGAAAACACTTTCCCCATGAATTTGTTCTCTTTTCATGCAGATGTCAGCCTCCTCCCTCAGCTCCCCGGCAGCCCTACGCCTGTTGTTATGGTGTCGTTGTCACTTACAGTTTCTGCTGTGATTAAGCAGTGAAGGCCAGCGATGTTTGCAGGTGCACATCTGCAGCCTGTCAAAAACAATCCCTTCCCTGCAGATACCACCAGACTGAGTAATGCAATTTGGTCTTCCACGTTTATTACCTTTCAAAATGAGTGTGCAGCAAACAGTGAGGAAACGAGCCCACACGCGGCACGGCTCAGGAAGTCATTTTCTTAAGAGGTGTCTGGTAGGGAATCTGAAGCGTCTGATTGGTGGTCAGATTAGTGTGGCTGCGGGAGGGAGGAGTTCAGGGGTTAATCCGCTTCTCAGACGGCACTGGAAGTCAGCAGCTGTCGCTCCTGTGATTAAAGTTCTCTTCCCCTCTCGCCGATTCCCTTGGTCACCCTTATTTTCTCATCATCCTATTCACTTTGTCTAATCCGCATGCCCACAATAAATCTCATTTAAATACAATTATGTGCCTTTTTAGGGGTCATTCTAGGGCTAGTCTTAAGCATAATCCTCATTAGTTTCAACATCATCCTCTGCAGCACACAAAAATAATAAGCCTTTTTTACAGTCTGTTTGCTTTACAATTATTGTTAAAGGACCCATCTTTTCGATGAGGTTTTTAATTCGCAGAAAATAGTGTTTCAAAAAAAATAAATTGGTCTCTCTTTTTAATAAACCGTAAAATACACAACAAATAGTATGTGGCTTTGAAAGAAGTAAAATCTTAAAAACAAGTTGCTATATGAATGAAACATGAGTAAAGGCATGTTTTCAGTGGAGGTTTATGGACTTTTTTAGATGTTGAATTAAAAGGATGAATCTGTTATTTATTGTTTTTTTAATATCTAAATGAGCCTTATTATACAGTGTAAAACAATGCACTTTAAACGGCTCCCTTATTACATATATACATGTTTATTAGTCATTAATAAATAGTGTACCTACTGTTGTACACTTTATAATAGGGCTCACTTTGATAATTGTGGATATGTATAACACAGTAATACAGTACAATATTTTATGTAAAATATGCATTTCCAAATCATTATTATGCTTACTGTTGAATATAGCACCTTTAGATGTAATATGTTCTTGAACAGATTTGGCTCACCATTTTGCAAGAACCATAATTTTTTTCTCTTAATCGTCCTTAGTTAATGCATAATAAACCTTTATTAAGGATTTATAAAGTGTTCACAGATGAATTAATAACCTATGTATAAACTATCTATAAGCCATCTATAAGGGGAGCCTTATTGTAAAGTGGTACTGAAAAGGATAATTAAAGTTGATTCTCTGTTGCTCTTACCATACCAAAATCAAAGATTACTGAGAAATTCAAATTTCATTGTCTTGACTTGAAAGTTGGTCAGCTGCCATGAGGAGAATGCACTAAATACAGATCCACTATTTGGTAATGCTTTTTTATGGTACCCTTATTACCATGTAATTACAAGGTAATAAAAATGTTATTAAATATAATTACTACATTATTACATGTAATTATGTGGTAATTACGGTACAAAAGAAAAACTACTGTTATTAAAACTACATTTATTGGGTAACTACAATCAAATTACTATTCAATAGTAATTCAACACTATATTTATAACCAAAAGAAGGCAACTAAATTTTGGGGTTAGTGGTTAATTGCAACAAAATATAACTTTAAAACTGTCCAAATTWCYTACTACTTATTTAGGTGTTACATAGTGAATTGTAATACATTACCAGGTAAGTGATACATTACTGCAGACAATTAATTACATAGTAAAATTGAACCCTAGTTACCATCTAATTACATGGTAATAAGGTAGTAATTACAATTTGATTACATATTTTATTACCTTGTAATTACATGGTAGTAAGGGTACCGTAAAAGAAAGCGTTACACACTATTTTACATGCTACCTTTGGGGCCACATAAAATGCCAACAAGGGCCAAATTTGGTCCACGCGCCGTGAGTTTGACATGTGCTTTGGGATACAATTCTTACTACATAAATCACACACTCCCACTGTGAAGCTGTGAACTATTTCTCTACACTGTGTATAATTTCATTAAGAAGATTTTTTTTTCAAAGTGATCTTTAAGTTAGGAACACACTGGGATCATTGTAGGGTTTGGGATCTCGCTTACAAATACTTTGAAATGTAAATAGGGATAAAGTTGCAGAACAAACCCCCGACATTCCTTTCCCCAACCTTTTGAAGAACAACCACTCTTCTCCCTGAGCTGCAGATACTTCAACATTCAAGCACAAATTATACAGCAGCACCAGGATTAATGGTAGCGTCGCTCTGACACACAACTTGTAGAAAGATGACAGTTTGGAGCAGAACCATGTCTAATAGCTGAAAGACGGGTTCGTTGTGGGCACAGATTTCTCTGTGTTGTCAGTTGGAGAGGAAGCACAGGTCTTATTTTTTAAATTAAAGCCAAAAACATTTTCCTGACACACGTTTGACCAGCGTGAACGAAATTGTCATCATTTCACCTCGGGTGATTCGGCTCCATCTTATTGAGCNCCCCTTGACTGCAGCTCTGCTAAAGGGAAAGAAGTAGTAAACACTGTTCAAGGCTCACAGCTTTCTTGGCCTCTGCTGCAAGCATGCAGATAAGAGTATTAGAGCTGTTTTTCATTTCCAGCCCTTCAATTGCTGCTATTAGATTCTGTAAAAATGAAGAAAATGCTGCTGCATATGAATTGGTTCTGATGGGAAAGCTGGGCAGCGGGGTTAGGAACCAAAACTTCAAAATAATTCTACGTCTTTTTACTATTCTTGCAACAAATAAACATTTAAAATGGAAATGGAGGCAATAATGAGGCAGAATGAAGTTATTTTGATGTGATTTTAAGTCCTATGTGCAGACATTGAATGAGAGAAGAAAGCTTGAAAAATGAGAAGTGCCTTATCTACAGCAGACACAATTATTGATTATAAAGTTTAATTTGTGCTTCATACCTTCTGTGACTTTTAAAGACTCGTACTTTTTAAAACCCTCTAGTTCTGCAGTGTCCTTGAGGTGGGCAGCTGTCAGTCCTGGTTTACATATTCTGTCTACCTTTTTTATCAAACCTCAAAAGGAATTACTTGGGAATTTCTTTGGGGAGAACGTGATGTGTTTTCTGCTGCGTCAGACACATTAACACATCTCTCCCTCTTTGCTCCTCAGTGTTCAGGAACCCGGTATGCAAGGTGTACCGATTTCAAACAGTGGACAGCAAGTGGATGCTTGTGCGGGAACAAATGGAGGAGTGCACGCTGTCGTTCAGCATCCCCAAGCAGCTGCTGTCGCTCTACGTTCAGGAGGACAAGAGCAGGTGAGCTGTTGTGGAGCCTGTAAATGTCATTGGCACATTTTACACTGAAGTGATTGGTTTATTTAAGGTATTTAAATAAAGCCATTTAAAAAATTAATTTTACACTTTATAGATTTGGACATACTTAAACGTATAAACCCTAAAGAATAAATAAAATCTTTAATGCAGCTGAAAGCAAATCTAAGTTCTAAGTTGTGTGCTGCATTGGTTACTGGTTGTTTAAACTGTGCATTTTGGCCTTTTCTCTCTGGTGGTGAGAGAGGAAAACGCCATTTTGGCCTTTCAATGAGGAAACAGAGCCTGGGGACCCAGCGCTCTCCAATCTCTGGTGCTGAGGTCACCGATGTGGTTAAAAAGCTCCTCTGTGGCAAGACCCCGGGTGTGAATGAGATTCACCAGGAGTTCTTTAAGGCTCTGGATGTTGTGGGGTTGTGTTGGTTGATGCAATACAATATTGCATGTACATCAGGGGACAGTTCCACCGGATTGGAAGACAGATTGCTGCCACCATGACCCGACCCCAGATAAGCAGAAGAGGATGGATGGATGAATGGATGGATGGATGGATGGATGGATGGATGGATGGATGGATGGATGGATGGATGGATGGATGGATGGATGGATGGATGGATGGATNGATGGATGGATGGATGGATGGATGGATGGATGGATGGATGGATGGATGGATGGATGGATGGATGGATGGATGGATGGATGGATGGATGGATGGATTGAGCTGAGAGTCATTTGCAACATGCACTCTGAGGGCTAACAGATCATACAAGATCTTTGCTTAAATACAATATCTAATGGTGCAGTTTAAGAGCTGACTCCAGTAGTTGTGATACAGTAAAAGCAGGTCCGCATTCAATGTAAATTAAGAAGTTTTATCTGCAGACTGTACAAACAATCTGAATACTTACAAATTAGTAGTGTTCCGATTTTGATATACTTGTTCAAAATGCCCTGATACTCTGAACGTATCAGGACATTCATTCATTTACCGAATGTGTTACATTTTACAGCCATCATATTGGGGCGGCTGTGGCAGAGTGGTTAGGGTAGTCGTCCTGGAACCAGAAGGTCACCGGTTCAATCCCCTGTCCAGCTATCTCAGTTGTTGTGTCCTTGGGCGATATACTTTACCCCTAATGCCTCTGATGTGTGTCCCATCAGTGTATGGCACTGTTTAGTCTCCATAGTTGATTGTACACATTAGCTTTGTAGGAGATCTGGTAGAGTGCTGAGTGAATGGGTACATGAGGGCGCAGATTGTAATGTGAAGCACTTTGAGTATCCTGGTTGGATAGAAAGGCGCTTTACAAGTACAGTCCATTTACATGTCAAGTTTGTTCTAAACAAAAGAAATGTTATTGTGTAAGGTTAACTCAGTAAGTTCTCGGTATCTTTACTTTTAGTATCCATGCTGAAGTACTCGTGCTTGTTTAAGAAAAACTCCTGACCCCCAATACTTCCAAATTGTCCATTTTTTTTTATCTCAAATGACTCTCCCATGGATGTTGACATTGTCGACCTGTATTTCCCCATTGCCTTAGTTCTTTCTGTAAGAAAACAAATGAATGGTTGTTCACAAATTTTCCTGTAAAATTTAATTTAAGGACAAAAAAACCATCAAAATGAAAAGAATCATTGTGATTTAATTTTAGTTTTTGGTTTGATCAGTCTTTGTGATAAAATCTCTTTGCAAAATCCAACATGATGGTATGCTAATTCTTCAATGACCGCTACTTTCATGGAAAATTTATTCTGTAAATCCTTACCTGAAAATGCTGTCCCATGTGCAATTTTTATATTTGTAAAATTTAAGCATCACCAGAATTTTTTGTTTGTATTCTGTGTACTTTTTATGCTCCAATTTTTCTCCAATAAGATAAAGTAGTTTTATGGTTGAATGGGAATGTTTGTAAAAATTACAATTTTTTCAACATATTTTTGTCTATAAACTAAAGATTGTTTGCTGCACTTGATGTTTACTGAACCAGTCCCTTTCAGATTTTTATATTAGTAAGATTCTTTTTTTGTCAATAATAAATGTTAAAGAAGTTCCTCTACTGAAGAACCAGTCCCTGGCAGTCATGGAACAGTATGAGATTCAAACAGCACAATGAACTTCATCCAAACTATCGCTTCCTCGCTGTACTGTATTTTTAAACCAAATAATTCAAATAACTTAAATATGTTAATCAGTTGTAAATGTATATGCAGGATATACACAAGTATATTTAGTAATTACTTTCTACGGAAAAAAATCACCTGCTTTTTTTCTTGGCAGGACGTAAAAAGAAAACATTCAGTAAAGAAAATGTAGGCCAAGACAACGGAGGACCGCTGTATTACGTTCATACCTAAAGTTCCTCTGAACAACCTGTCTCATCATCCTCTGTCATTCTAACTGAAAACAGTGCATGTACACTTTAATTGCTCACTTCATGCTGTGTGTTCACAAACACCAGACGGGTTAAATGCAGAGGTCAAACACAAATAAGAGATTTGAGAGCCTAACTGCAGGGAAGTTTAGTCCAGCTCAAACCACGTAGGAACAATGGTACAGAGAAAACAGGATGCTGTTTCGTCTCTTTCCAAGTGTGAATTACCAAGTACATTAAAGATCCCCGTCCCTCAGGCCTAAGCAGTGTTTGTCGAGACAGATTACTCTGCCTGTTTTCCATGGAAACCCTTTACCTACACAACATACAAACAAACAAACCCATCCAAACGCTCACAGCTTCACATTCATTCTTTATGCTTTAATAAAAGAGTGATCATTAAAATGATGCAGATATTAGGCTCAGTTTGAGAGTAAGGAGATTTTGTTATCACTAAACGGTTCACACTCAAGAACACATTGACATACAGAAACATCACAGTGACGGTCAGTGAGCTGTTGTTGAGAAATTCACTGTTGCTGTGTCATTTATCAAACAGGAGGAATCCAGTCTAACACCAAAAACAGGCTCTTTGTCTGAATCTTTAACTCTGATATCTGTGTAGATTCACAGTGATTTGCTCTGAAAATCTGATCATTCCAGTTAAATTTAAGTGAATATTTATGACATAAAGAGCATAAACACACATCATTCTCTGAATCTTTATTTACATAAATAATAAATAATTTCCTAAGCTTTGGAGTTTAAGCAGTTCTCCTATAATCCTCTTTAAATGTTGTTGTTGTTTTTTTCACTGCGCCTTTTTTATTTAGCCTCCATTCTGTCAGCTGAGTTCACCATGGTGCTGGCTCAGGGTTTTTAATGATTCCGTCAACGCTGCAAAGCTCTGAGTGTAGCATCAAGATGGTGGTTGGCAAAGTTCCTTTACCTCTCCGAGATAATCTCAAGTTTCTTCTTTCTGTTTGTGAGCTTTGATGTCTAAACTCCCTCTCTAATCTGAGTGAGTAAGCGGAGAGCGAGCTGTTTTATTTAGTCTCCTCTGCGATGATGCTTTGACTTCCATATGTTCTTTTTTTTTCCTTTTTTTTTGGGGGGGGGGTAATTTATGTGTAACAACAATCAGTACAATATCAGTGAATGTGTGGGTGTTCGAATGAATAAACCTCATTCATTAAAGGCTGCCAGGTTTTGCATTAGGGGAAAATGTAAGTTCTTTCCTTTTATATGTTTAAGTGTGCGGTTGGTGTACAAAATCTGTACAGGTCACCAGTCCATCACAGGGATGCATGAAAATTAACAAGACCCTTCACACTCAGACACATTTTATTAGTTACCAATTGACCCAACATGAATGTTTCAAGCCTGTGGGAGGACAACAGCACACATGGAGAAAACGACGCATGCACAGGATGAACATGCAAACTCCACAAAGAAAGACTACAATCTCCTGCAGCAGCTGCAACCTCTGCAATGTGTCATGCATTATTATCTAAAAGACTATTCCACTGAGAATGAGACATTCAGGCCCAGCATTCCTTAAACATGTGCATATTGCTCACCTTTTTTTAATGCCAGCGTTTTAGATTGAAATATTATATTGAGAACAGATGATGTAATATTGCAAGTTGCTGTGCTCAGAGTATGTTGTGAATGATTCAGCTACCACTTCATCAGGATTTAGCTCAGTTTCTGTAAAACTGACTGAGTTATATCCTTTTTTGTCTTTGGCTAATGCTGATTTGTTGTTTCAGCCACCTAAGTTAGTACTGGCTCCAAAGTGAATGAGTTCTAGGCGTACCTCCATTGATTACTTTCTAAGAGTTTCTTTAAAATCTACAGGTTCATGAGATAATGTACGTATCTTTGCTAAAATACAGACCAACAGTCAGAGGTGTCAAAAGTATTCACATTCATTTAGTAAAGTGTTATTTTACTTCAAAGAAAACGAGAACCAGGAAACACAGAATTAGACTTGAAGATTAAGTGCAAGAAATAAAGCCATAACTGGACCAAAATACAGACTGTTTATTCAGGATTTTGGCCCCAAAATCAGGAAGTCAGCCCATATTTTAAAAAAAATCTGGGCACACCTCAGAGGCAAGATGTCACATAGATTGGGAATATCTTCCCTATCCAGTGGCCAGACTCCTTTTTTACAAAAATCTCCAACCTGATGAGAAAATAACTATGTGGTGCTCTGTTTAGTGATAGGCATTTGTGAACTAATGTATCATTTAAAAGTATGTTCTGTTTGAGAAGACCATGACATGAGTCATTCATAGTAGATTGCACATCAATTAATCACAGTTTAATCATAAAGGTAAATAATTACACAAGCAGGTTATCATAAAATGGCCTAGTTCTCTGGGTAAAAACAAGAATGTGTAGTGCATTAAAAATCAGTGTTAAAAACGTTTTTTTTTTTTACATTATTCAGCTTTAAGTATAAATACTAGAGTTTAAAAATACTTTTGTATAGGTTGAAGTAACAACTCAAGCTTTTTCTTCACATAAAAGGCTAATAGTACTGGTTTTAAAAATAAAAGTAATGTTGGCTGCATCACAGGGTGTTATAGTGCACAACCCCACCTC